CTTCTGATTGGCTGCGCTCCATCACCGCCCGCGATGCCTCTCGACGTTTCCTTTCTGTCGTGACGATCCCTTTCGCTGGAATTGACCTTGTTCCTGTCAATATCGACAATGGCTGACTCCGGTGAACTCGCTCAGGCTCCCGCGAACAAGCGGCCTCACTCTGCGGTCGAGGCTGAGAATAGTGAGTCCCCTGCATCGTGAACACCATCCAGACCGCTCCCTCGAACGGAACGTAATAGATACTAACTCTACGCGATTGCTAGGTGATGACTCTTCCGACGACGATTTTGGCCCTGCGCTGCCCTCGGAGGTTGCCCCCAAGAAGAAGCGACGCAAGCTTCCCTTTGAGAAAGTCTACATCAATGCGCTACCAGTCTCCGCACGGTACTCCAAGTCGCTTATGCACAAGGACCAATTGTCGTTTGTGACTGTTGCGCCCTATACGGACTTTGTGATCACTTCCTCCGTCGATGGATTTGTTAAGTTCTGGAAGAAGATGGCGGAAGGCATCGAGTTCGTGAAGGAGTTCCTTGCTCACCCAGGCGAGATTCGGGGCGTAACTGTCAGTGCGGACGGCCGCAGTTTCGCGACAGCAGGACTGGATAAGACGGTGAAGATCTTTGATGTTATTACATTTGGTAGGCTCGGAATGTGTGACTCTCGTGGGCTTAGTGACTTGCTAACATTAACAGATCTCTTGGCGATGTATACCCTAGACTTCGTGCCTCGATGTGTTTGCTGGGTACACCCGCGCGGGGCCTCGCTCCCCCTGCTAGCCGTGACAGACGAGTCAAGTAATACGATTCAAGTATTCGACGGACGTGGCGAAAATCCCCAGCCATTGCACACTTTGAAGTCGATCCACCGTAGCCCGGTGGTCTCACTCGCATTCAACAACGCCTTCGACTGCGTCGTCTCCGCCGATGAATCAGGAATGATCGAATACTGGAGAGCCGGAGACGGATCTTTCGAGAAACCTGACAATGTCTTCGAGCTCAAATCCTCAACAAATCTCTTCGCATTTAAGAAAGCCAAATCCGTCCCGACATCCATCACAATCTCCCCGACCGGCGAGCACTTCGCCACGGTTTCCTTCCCAGACCGACAAATCCGAGTATTCGACTTCGCAACCGGAAAGCTCTACCGCACATACGACGAATCAATAACCACCATCACGGAGATGCAGCAAGCGGGAACAGCACCGTACGAACTTGACGAAGTAGAGTTCGGGCGCCGCCTAGGTGTTGAGCGCGAACTCGAAAGCGAAGCCACGCGCAACAAAGTAAACGTTTGGTTCGACGAATCTGGTCACTTCATCCTCTACGGCTCTCTTTACGGCGTGAAATGTATCAACACCTACACAAACCGGGTAGTGCGCGTCTACGGCCGCGAAGAGCCATTCCGAGCCCTCAACCTCGCATTGTACCAAGGCCAACCGCAACGCAAAGGCGTCGTAACCGTCTCAATGGCAGCCAGTAGCAATCCGCTCCTCCAAGAAGCCGAAGAACGCGACCCGATCCTCCTCTGCACCGGCTTTGCCAAGGTGCGCTTTTACATGTTCACGAACGAAACAGAGATTTCGAAATCCACCCGCGACGTTCAAAACGAGAAGCCAACCCAGGCAGCGGCTGGCGCCGGTACGGCAACTACTAAAGCCGCTGAGACCGGCACTGCTGCAATCCTGCACACAACCTTGGGTGACATCCACCTGCGCTTGTATCCCTCGGCTGCACCACGGGCCGTGGAGAACTTCGTCACACATGCCCGGAATGGCTATTACAATAACACAATCTTCCACCGTGTGATCCGCAAATTCATGATCCAAGGTGGTGACCCGCAAGGTGACGGGACGGGTGGTGAGTCTATCTGGGGCGGGGAATTCGCAGATGAGTTCTCCGTTCTCAAGCACGATAAGCCGTATACACTGTCGATGGCGAACGCCGGACCCAATACAAATGCTAGTCAGTTCTTCATTACGACGGAGAAGACGCCGTGGTTGGATAATAAGCACACTATCTTTGGGCGTGCAGTGCAGGGCTTGGATATCGTGCATAAGATCGAGAATGTGCGGACGCATAAGGAGAAACCGGAAGTTGATATTAAGGTTGTTAGTATTAGTATCTCGTGATACACCAGCCTCGGGTTGGATCAGGAGGTATTACAAAAGATGTGTATAAGGAATCATGAAATGCGCGCACGCGTTGTACTATGTACTCTGTCACCTGTTCAAACATATTGAAAAGAAATGGCGAATATGAGGGTAAAAAGAGAATGAACACAGTCGTCAGCAGAAATCCACTCCGCCATATTTTAGGCCAAAGCCCGCGAGAACAAGGTAAGGAAAAGGGATGGAAAGAGCGGGAAAAGAGGCGCAAGACCAACAAGAAGAAAAACACAGCGTGAAGCCCATTATCCGTACCAAACACCAAGAAATGCAACCATAACTAGGTAGTATGGTATAGAAGTAGCGCATTGCAAATAAAACCGGAATTTGGGGACATAAGCAACCCAAAGATCCAAAACAAGATAGTACCAAAACAGGCTCTAGACCTGCCGAATCTCCACATCCCCAGAGCCCTGTTCGACCTTCGTCAGTCGCGTCCGAGCCCCGGGGACAGGAGTGCCAGTCTTGGCCATTGTAGAGCGCGAGCTACTAGCTAGGGAGTCAGCACCGAGGCCGGCGGTCTGCACAGGCACCGGCGGGGCGCCGGTCCAGGCGGCATTGGGCGGAACGGGCGGGGAAGCTGTGCTCAGCAAGCTGCTGCCACCGCCGTGGTAGAGATTGGGCCGTTTAGCGTCGTAGCGACGTTTGAACCATACGCCGAGTACGGCGATGGCGCTGAATCCGATGACCAACACGATGAGCATGATGACCCAACGGTAGTGAGTACTCCACCTTTTGGAGGGGAACTTTGTTAGCGATTGGTCTTGGGTGTGGATGTAGTCTCGATTCCCATTTGCGCCGCGGTGTTGGAATCAAACGTACCATGACTTATTCTCCTCTGTAGTAGTGCCGGATTTATTTGTGGCTGCGCTTGAACTGGAACCAGATGTAGCGCCTGCGGCTGCTGAGGTTGTTGTAGCGGTGTTGGATGTATCCTTGCCGCCGGAGTTGCAGTAGTTATTGTACCAGGTTGAGAGCGTGGCTTGGTCGGCCGCGCTGCAGGTGGAGCAGATGCTGCCGGAGGTTTTAAGGCCGGTGAGCAGGGATGACTGGCAGAAACATGAGGTCCAGGTTGAGGCGTCAGCTGCTTCGCAGGACGTCTGGGCGGTTGTCAGGGTGCTGCAGGTCAGACCACACTGCGGGAATGTACTGGAGGCTGATGTGGGGAGGATACTGTCGGCGGCTAGGGCTGAGATTGTGAGGGCGATAAGGGCGAGGAAGAGGAATGGAAGGCGCGTAGTGAGTGACATTGTGAGAGTTGATGTTTGGAGTTCTGTTTTAATGAGGGGTGAGTAGCGAATGTAGTGAGAGCCGTGAGGCTCGAGTTGATGTTCGGATAGGATCTCTTAGTCCATCGTTGCATAGAAGAGAAAGAAGAGTCCAGAAGTCCAGAAGTCCAGAAGACCAGAAGACAAGAAAACTAGGAGATGGTTTTTGGGTCTAGTCGCCGAACGATTCCGGATTTGGTTTTTTCTTTTTCTTTTACCCTGTAGGGTACGGAGCACGGAATACGGAGTACAGGAGTATTTAATGGTTTTTATTTTTATTTTTATTTTTATTTTCATTTCCAATTTCTTTTTAATTACTTTATGTTAGTATAATGTATATGTAGTATAATGTGTGTAGCATAGAATGTAATAATGTAGTATTGTAGTATTGTAGTATTGTAGTATTGTAGTATTGTAGTATCGTAGTACTGTAGTACTGTAGTATGTAGTACGGTAGTACTGTACCTGACAATCGCATGCGTCTGGTTAATCTCCGCAAACGGCCCATCCAACGTGAAAATACCCAACATTCCGATCATTCGAGAGATCCGAGAGATCCTCTTAACATTCTGACACCTGCCAGATCTTGAATTCCTAGCACCTGGTCAATTTCTATCGGTAACTTACATCGCTGGATGCAGTAAATGATTGACTATCACGTTTTTTCAAGGTTATTTTAGACTATCGCCTTGGCTGAAGATCAATACTTTCATGCAAGGAGTTACTATCTATATTCTATTCCATACTCCGTACATCGATGTGCTATGTACGATGCAGGATGTAGGAACTGAGTTATCTATTTTCTTACAGAATCTGTTTTGTACTGATCTGTAACTCAACCCAGTTCATTAACTCCAAACAAGGGCCCACCACGATCGGCAGTCGAGGCGGTTGAAATGAGGCACGGAATCCGTTTCAACGTCTTGTTAAGTGGGCATTGGATTGCCCACCCTTGGACGGAGTACAATATAAATCTTGATGTTCAAGATTGAACACATCTGATATCATTATCTCATGTAGAGAGTCTATTATGCATATCCCCACTCTATATACTGCGGATAATATAGATGAATCCGCAAATTCTATTTCAATCGTTGATTATGTATTGGTGCCGATTGGCTTAATGTCTTGACCGGGTCGCTAAAAAGGTGTATTCCTTGTATCATACAGAGAACCTGAGATGGAATATACTGCACATGTCAGAGAACATAGTTGCAATTAACATCCGTGGATACAATACAGCTAATAGGCAAAGAGGTCTTAGCCACATGGCTAGTGGACTTGATTCGATGCGATCTTATGTTCCAAGTTACAGAAGGTAAAAGGAAATTGTATGTCCCTTTTAGGTCATTTCCCCGGTTAGCGGGGTTCTCATTAGTCTATGGACAATTTTAGGCGATCTACTCCGAAAATACGTACAACATACAACCAAATAAGAAAAACAAGCAATACAAGTCTCAGGGCTAGTCCGAGTGGAAAGCCCGTCGATTGATTGGACAACTCCACCTATTATTCCTCCCCGCATTCCCTTCTCCAACAACCCTTCCATTCTACCAATTACAGCAATCATGCCAACAATGCCCTCCCGTCAACTCCTTTCAACCCTAATAGCCTCCCTCAGCAACACCCGTTGGACCTTAACCCGAACCCTCCGGAGTGAAAACCCCCTCGACCTCAACGGCGAACTCCGCGGGACCGCAACCTTCACCGCACAACCCCCCACCACAACCGACCGCGACTGGCTGTACTGCGAAGAAGGCGAGATACCTAGCAATGTCGGTACAGGCGCGTTACCACCAGGTCTACGATGGACAAAGAAGTACATCTGGCGCCAGGACAGCGACAGCGGGCGCGTCAGCGTCTGGTTCGTGAAAGTCGCGCCGGGCCCGGAAGAAGCAGACTACCTATTCCACGACTTCGACTTTGAGTCGGGTTCGGATTCGCTGCTGGAGTCGGCGTCAGTGTCTACGCAGAAGGATCCCGGTGAATTCGTCGCGCCGCCTGTACCGCCCGTTGTCTTGACCTCCGGCAATGAGACTACTGTCCTCAATGCTAGAGGTAACCATCTCTGTATCAACGATATGTATCGCACGGCGTATGCGTTCCGCATTAAGCCTGATACCGGGGAGGTGCTTAGCTGGGCTAGTCGACATGTTGTGCGAGGCCCGAAGAAGGGACAGGACATTGTTAATCGGTACGAGAAGGAGGCATGAGGATTTGAAGGTTCCTATTATTGGGATGATTCTCGCACGAAGCTATGAGCGGGCTCTTATAGACGTCTTGCATAAACCTGGACTTGTCTACCTACCTACTAAGATCACGGTCGTGATGATGTATGTTCATTTCCCACTCATATCTCGATCTAGCTCTGCTCTCCCTTCCACGCCTATCCGGCTATCCCCCCGCTGCTCACAGCGTGTAGATGAAATCCGGTCTTTTGTCACCCAATAGCTCGATCTCATTCTGGTCCAAGCCCTCGATCCAGTAGTCGCGTTCGCCGCGTCTGCGCTTGCCGTTCTCGCGTCGCAGCAAGAGGTACTGCACTACGGATCCACCAAAGAGGAATAGGACCAGGTAGCCGAGTACTACACCATGACCGGGGTAGTATTTCGGCTTGTCATCATCGCGGTAGATGTTGGATGAGACGATGCCGTTGAGATTTCCCCAGCCGATGATAAACCCAAGGGAGACACCTCGTTTATATACACCTAGACAGCAATGGGTTAGTCTTGGCTTTCGTCATATGTACAAGATAAACGCGGAATCTAGGGTGAAAGTTACCTTCGGTGTTGTTACTAGTCCATGAAATCGTGTTCGCGATGGCTGGGTAGATGCCCATAGCCCCGAGGAAGGTTCCTGCGTAGCGGGCACCGGCAGACTCACAGCCTAGTAGCATAGCGAATCCTATCATACCGAGGAACGAAACGGCGATATTGCAGAGACCGCGCTGTCTTGTACGGTCTGCAATAAATCCAACTGTCACTGTCAAAACGGCAGCGGCGGCATATGGCGGTACACTTAACAACTGAGCACGAATCGAGCTGTAGCCTATAGAAGCAATCAGTAAATAGCTGCGATATACCGAGCACAACATCCAATATTAATAATTACCCTAGAAACCCATGTTAGCTCAACAATCCCCAACTTCGCAATGTGACAACTCACTAATTCACTAATAATAGTAGGCACGAAAAGCGAGAACGCATAAAGCGACCCATCAGCCCCCATGTAAATCACAGCCCCAGTATAAGTCTTCCAATCCTTCAGACTCGACCAAAAGTACTCCATCTTAAACTCCTCATGTTCAGCACTCGACTGCTGATCGGCAGCGAGTCTCCTAAGAACGCGCTTGCGATCGATATCCGACAAGAACCGCGCCTGATCAGGGAAGTCATAGACACACCAAAACGAGGCAATACCAATGATGAACGTAAGAAGGCCTTCCAGAATGAAAATCCAAGACCAGCCTGGCTTACCGGCCACGCCGTCCATCTTCGCAATGGCAGCTGCTAGCAACCCGCCAAAGGAACCTGCGAGCGCGGCCGCGGAGAAGAAAATTGCCATTCTCACACCAAATTCTGAGCGCTTATACCAGCATGAGAGGAAATAGCCTACTCCGGGGAATAGACCGGCTTCTGATAGACCAAGGAACCAGCGGACGGCCATTAGCCCGTGGTAGTTTTTTACGAAGCCCATGAAGGTCATGCAAATTCCCTGGAATTGGTTAGAAGGATAGTAAGGAGTAAGTACTGTTTCACTTACCCATGCCATCATAATAAGTGGGATAAATATACTCGGCCGCAACCGCTTGAGCAGGACGTTTGTCGCGGGCTCGAAGACGGAGTACGAGACGAAAAAGATAGTCAGGGTGGCATTGTATTGGGCATTTGTCATGTTCAGATCTGTTTGAAGACCGACAAGTTTTGCGTTCCCGATATTTGTGCTTGAACAAGGTAAGATTAGTTCGTGATATTTCCTCGGCAGTCCGCGAATAATGGATTTGCTTACCGATCAAGGAACGAAACGAGATAAAGTAGACTGAGCCATGGCACGAGGCGGAGATCAAGTTTCCATAGTAGCTTACGATCCTATTGTGTTTGTTTAATTAGTTATTGTAGCTTCAAATGATATTGAACGTGAAAGCAAGGGATAACACACAATTGCTGCCTTTTCTTCATCACTCAATCCAGCATCGGGATCCTCAAATCCAGCAGCAGCAAGGGGATCCTTGGAATCAAGAATATTCTCGGGGTCAGAAGACCGGGACTCAGTTCGTTTCTCAAAAGAATCAACCATAATGCAAGATCGAGCAGATCGGCAGGGGGGATGCTCCGAAATGTACGACTACTTTTCGCCGACCTGCGGGCTATTTAAGAAGAAACAGAGAAAACTCCAACCCAAGGAATCCGAAAGCCACCAAACACTTGGTAAAGAGGGGCAACACACGCGATCGCTTAAATTCGGCGGGTGGACCTGTGAGATTTGGTGCTAGGGTCCAGCTAAATGACAGTATGGTGGCTACACCCTGGCCCGTGTCCTAGGCCGCGCGCAGGAATTGCAGCATTGGCTTGGATCTGGATGCTGACGCCACGGGTTGATCGGCATGGATTTGAGTGGTTCGGGCATGATCTGCGTGTAGAGAGTCAAATCGGGTAATAAAGAGGGTTTGCATAGGAAAACAAAAGGTCAGCATCATTGTAGGGTATCTGGTTTAAACCCCTAGAGTTTAGTATACTACTATGGATGTATGATCTATTGGTTGAATTGGCCGAGTCTGGGCATCTGGGGAAAATTAGGGTATCCCCCGCATATACCCCGGGCTCCACTGGGCGAAGCTTTCCTGTTCCCATCTCATGTATGAATCGCCAAGTCCACAACGGCCCGCTCCTTTGATTAACACGAGAGACCTCGGTTTCGCTCAGAAATGTATGTCGTTACTATGTGTACTCGGCCGAGAACACATTGGTGGTGTCGGCCGACGAGACCAGAATGAAGGTTGATCTTCCAAAGTCCGAAGCTAGTCGAAAGTGGCGCGGTTAACGCCTCAACTATCTAGCCATTTATCATGTAGTCTTCTGGATCCACTAAAGATGATGGCCTTTTCTCCATGTTTTTATTGGACGGTAGTGGACTCGGCAGAGTGGAAGGATTGTCTCGGCATTGATCTCGCCAGCGGCCTTGCTCCGCAGCCCCGAACAACTCGGCCCAATGAACATACAACTATACAAAATACTCCATAGTAAGGGGATACTAAGAGTGCCAGCTTTTCCTTGTCAGTCACGCTAAGCCTCGCATCCATTGTGCGCACAGCTTTCATGACGCTGTATGGGGTGATCATCGCACAGAACCGAGTTCAGTCAGCAGCGCACGGGTACCTAAACTGCGACTGTAATTTAGAGCTAATTTAGTGTACCCTGATTTGCAATAGGCGCCTCGTGGAACAAACGATAGTTCAAAAAAGACTAATTGTTGGAACATTCCCTGTCCAAAATATTTGGGTGGTCGAACAGATTTCTCACCTGTGCAATTGAGCTCATGGCAGCATATTCATGTTCATTTGTTTTTGTTGGACCGCTCGTTGTAACTCGCCTCTTGAGTTCTAATTTGGATCTTGATAGTAGCGTAGCCAGAGTTTGCATTTGAGATATTGTGAGGTGAAAAATTTACATGTACCCCGAAAAAAAGTGCAATAACCAAGACGCTTATGATCAATGCAATATGCCCGAATTTCCTTCTTATAGCTACCTCGGGATTATAAATCACCTTAAAGATAAGACGCCAATTGAGCCTGATCAATATGAAAGCATTGTTGCGATACCGATCCATGCGCCTACAGACCATTCTCCCGCTTAATATCGCCCGGACGGGATTCCGGCTTCATGGGGTTGCCAAATCCATTGACGCGTCCATGGAGCCACTTAAGAGTAATGGTACTCAGTGTCATGATGAGGGCACTGAGAGTAAATAGGCCAATACGGCCTGATGTGGGCAGTGCTTCGAAGATAGGATATGGGTACCTAGACTAATTAGCGAGTGACGTTGGAAACACTAGGTCATATACAAACCATCCATTTTGGGAGAAGCATTGCTCAATCCAGAACCAGTAGCCGAAGGCGATAGTGCTAGACAACCCCAGTGCGGGGAGTACGGTGATTGTCCAGGGTGGGGATAGGAGCAGCAGGTCAATCAACATCACCACCGACGGTGCTGCGTGAAAGCTGATATCTATTATTGTGTTATTAGGGGCCTCCCAAGATATACTTTTCACAGACGTACCGGCATGAAGGGGTATGAAAAGATCTTCGGGAATCACCAGGCGCTCATCAATCTATACTTGGGTTAGAGAGAACTCCAAATTGGGCATCTCATCGAATTTCTTACCAAACGAAGACCCCAGTACAAAACACTGATCACAACCTCGAGGGGGGCACTGCATATCGATAGTATGTTTTTGATCAGGAACAGTCGCCGGGACGAGGTAATATCCGCTAGTAGTGCGACCGTAAAGGTGAGTGTTGACAACGATAGGCCAATCACGGTCAGATATTGAAAATGCCAACCATATGCTTCATTACTGTCAAATATAAAGTTGAGCGTGGTTTCCAATATAGAAATTAGACAGGGGCTTACGCATGGTTAGGGTTTTCGTGCATGCTTCAAGAATGTCAGCAAACCCTCAAAAGTACAGTTTGATAGAGGATCCATACTATTTGAATGACCACAAAAAGCTCGAAAGTCCGGCCAACTGAAAAGCAACCCCTTTAGTTCTGGACCGAACTGTAGAGTGAAAGGACCACGGTACGTACATGAACCACAGCTGACAAGCCCCGTGAAGGGCTCTGCATCCACTGAAGCGGGTGCCTATCGATGAGAGATTTGGCCATATCGGGAAACAAAGTAGAACACAAGTGCTTCAAAGTCCTACTTTAATGTGTAACCTAGAAAGTAACTCCTCCAAATATGCTATCAAAACGCAGCTCAGGGGACCAATGTACATCCAAAGAACTGCCCGGGTGGGAGCTATGACGTTGAAGATGTGGTCTCACGTGACATGCAGCGGCTTTTCGCGGGAAATCCTGGCTTCCCGCAGTATGCCGGTCGATATCGGATTATAACATAACCCGGCTGATTCATCGTTTCTTATCTCGGCCATGTGCTTCCCCACACTTTTAGTCTGCGCCCCAAAGACAACCTTCTTCTTCTGCATCAAGATTGGGAATTTTGTTGTGAATTTGTGCTCTTTGTTTGCACGGTGAGGTCAGTCGACTACCTAGTGTGTCAATTGAACATATTGAACTGAGTCGTTTCTATTTGACGTCTTGTTCCATCCATATCTGAGGTCGGGGAGATCGACACCACCCTGGTCACTATCGGCTTTTCTTGCCCATTGCTGAAGGGCAGTGGGATTCAAAACTTTTCTGGCACATCTCCCTCCCATACCTCGATGTGCTTGTATACTAGGTGTGGGTGTCTGGTCGATTATCGCTTTATCGCTACTTGGGGTCAATCAGGATCGAAACGCAGAAAGCGTGACAGCTCTGACGTGCTTTCGGCGTAAGCAATCTCGATTGGATTGACACCGACTGGAAAATACCAAATCTGTATGGCGGTGAAACAGTACATAGTGACCTTTGGCTATCTTGAGCCTCTGTTATCTTGAATTGTCACTGCGATACTCGACCAGGCGCCCTCTGACGTGCAATGCCTCGTCCTAGAAGGCCCGGTGCACCAGAACCGAAGCGTCGAAGCCGTAAGGGATGCTGGTACGTTATTAAAATGCCAACCCAAGCTTTGCCAAGGCTAACAATCGCACTAGGCCATGCAAAGCACGCAAGGTAAAATGGTGAGAAGCACAATCCCTACCTGATACTCATGTGGCTAACATTATCTATGTAGTGGCGAGGAGAAACCAACATGTCTCAATTGTCAGCGACAAGGCGACCCTTGCGACTATAGTGTCCGTCTGAACTGGGGAGGAAGGGCGAAACGCATGTCAATTGACTCGCCGAACTCACCATCGAGTGGGTATGGAGGTGCTGTAATTGGATGCATGGACTCATTCGCTATCAACAATCTGAGCCCGACTTCGTTCCCAACTCCAATAAGCAACAACCCTGCAGATGGATTTTCTAACATTCATCCCGGAGACTTGACTTCGCCGAGAGCGATGTCTCCAGGCACACCAGCACCAGTGGGTCTTTTCGAATCCCCTAGGCTCGGCTCGGGCTCTGAAGGAGTGACATCGCCGGGCCAGTCAGAGCTTCGGTTCTCCTCAACCTGGGCGGAACAATCTCCTCCATTGACGACAGCAGCATCCTCGGCGCCTTTGTTGCCATATCAATTTGGACAGCAGAGTTTTGATACCCCGTCATATCCGGATTCAGTGGATCAGACATCCGGTCTCAGATCACTCTCTGCCTTTGCGTTCCATACAAACTCCGTGTCACAGCCAGTCTCATACCTACGCCACCCTGTAGATGCCTCCAGTCATTTCTTGGATCCATCTATCTCCCGCTCTCGTGATGAAAGCCACCTTTCTCGAGAGTTTCCTGATGACCAGGGTACACATCTTAGCCCTGGGCCCGGGACAGGGCAAAACGGATCCTCAAACAGCCCACAGGATACTGGTGGCCTGTCCTCCATGCTTTTCGATTCACACAGAGTGTCAATTGCTGAAAATGATGCAACCACATCTCCGAGGCTCCACGAGACAACCAGCAACATGGGCTCTGTACATGACTATCACCATGAATTGACTCCGGATCATCAGGCATTGACAGAGAGCAATCATGAAGCTAATCAGACATCCCACGAGTCTTCAATGGCCCGGAGCAAATGGCAAACATATCTGAATAGTGTAACCGACAATTATGGATTGGACTCCGGGCGCCCTGATCAGGATCTGACTTTTAACAACGATCATGCTGCCATAGATATCAACTATGCGTTGGATTTGATCAGTTCTCGGTGGCGAAACGAGGACCCCTCGCAGACGAAAACCTCTCAACCTGACCCCGAACCACAGATCCAGTTTTGTAGTGGTTACTATGCTTCCCCTGTACCCATCAATGTCCCGAGGTACTTGTCTCCGCTTCCGTCATCACTGCTGGAGAACCCTATCAATTTGATGTACTTCCATCATTTTCTGAACCACACTGCCCGGATGCTTGTCCCGCATAACTGCGATAATAATCCGTTTATCTCGGTTTTGCCATCAAGTGAGTTGTACTGCTATATGTTATGTTATTTTCCGAAAGCTGACCGACCAGTGGCAATCGGTGATTCCAATCTCCTCAATTTGCTGCTTGCGTACTCCGCTAGTCATCGTGCTCGATACCTAGGTCACCCCGAGCCCGCCAATCGAATCGCTCACTGGGTTAGCCAGGTTTTCCCAACCTTGCGTATGGCATTGGAGTCATCCAATGAAGACATCACTGACAGCCACCTGGCCACGGCCATTATGCTGTTGTCATTAAAGATCGTTTCTCCCAGGACATTTGAAGTGCCGATTACCTGGAAGAGTCACCTGAAGCTTGCTCGTGATTTATTCCTAGCACGGAGCGAGAGCATGGCGCAGCCTGGGAACAGGATCGGGGCGTTCTTAGCCCGCTGGCTGGGCTACCTCGACACGATGGGATCTTTGTCTTGTCGGCATGCCGGTCCTCCGCTAATGACATACCACTCCATCTTAACAGCTTGCTCTGCGCCCGATGATCATGATGAGTTCGGTGTTGACTGCTTCACGGGATTCACTCCCCGCACTGGAGTATTTCTGATCCGTCTCGCGCGGCTGGTGCAGGAATGCGACAATCAGCGCTTCGACGAAATGGGCAACTTCCGACATGACTGGCATCCATCTGCGGAAATGGTCCTGGAAGCGCAATCCGTACTTGGTGATATCGACGGGATCGGTGACCGTGCTTATACCAGCCTGGAACACCATCATGGCGTCGAGTCCTCGGACATGATAGCCATCGAGGAAGCCTTCCGGTTTGCCGGTCTCCTGCATCTCCACCGGCGTGTCCTTGGGTCTCCACCTGACTCATTTCCCGTGGAGGAGGTCTTGCGGAAGCTCATTGATGCCCTTAGACGCATGCGCCCTGGTGCAGCCACTGAAGTCTGCTCCTTGTTCCCGCTCTTCACGGCTGGCTGTGAATCTAGAGATTCGGTTCTAAAGGATAAGCTTTTAGACCGGTTCTTTGTATTGGAGAGCTCGGGCATGAAACAGGTTCGCTTTTATACTGGTCAGAGCTTCGTTTGGAGATATTTGCTGACACTGTACTTACCAGATTCAAAATGCACGTCAATTGATGCAACACTGCTGGGATGAAAATCTGCCTTGGATTGCCCTGGCTAGCGGTCAGTTCCTAGGTTAGAGTCTGAGCTTTCCTAGTTTGAACAAATCGGGTGGTCCTGCCAGCCTTGGTTCGCAGACTCCAGATTCTTACGACGTCTGGCAATGGTATGAGCTAAGACGGAGCATTATATAGTATGAAGATGTGATAGGGTTAATAATTCCCTCACCTTCTAACCTTGGAAGGCCCCTTAAAGGTTTGTCCTTCTGTCCTTCGCTGCTACTATTGATGGCCTGTCACCATCTATCTCCACCTTCCACTACATATGCCTATTACTATTCTCTGTCACTAAACTAAATCATCATGTCCATTCCACGACTGGCCAGCATTTTGCATTTCACAGGCCGAAAGTCCAAGTTGCACAGAACAATCTGTTCTCGGTTATATGTATATAGCTTCGTAGCTACTTCTAATATACCTAGGATAGTAATATCAAACAGACTGCAACCTTGCCCGGTGTAAGCCAATATCGAAGTTCACGACTCCGCAGCGGGGTGATAATGATCCCCCAGCTTTCTCCACGCCAAGCCAGCCCAGCCGAGCCGCGGCTTAATGTAGGCTGTTATGATTATGAACGGTTGAAGGATATAACCGAGATACGGTATATAGGAAAGTTGCAGTTAAGCACATTAACTATATCTACTGGAACAGAAAACTATATACTTCCCAACATCCACCATGATCTTTGATCCCAGCCCCATCGAGCTTCCATCTTCTTACGAAAATGTTGAAACCACCGGTCATGTTGTTGTCTCTCACTACCCTCCGGGCACATCGGCAGTCACCCCCGTCGTCATCGTAACGCTGAATCGTCCTACTAAACATAATGCGTTCACTCCGCAAATGGTCATGGACTTCGAGAAGCTCTTCCCCATGTTCGATGTCGACGAGCGCGTGAAAGTTGTCGTTTTGACAGGCGCGGGAAAGACATTCTGCGCTGGTGCAGACCTTGAAATTGGTTTCGGTGGTGGCAAGGGCAGGACGGTGGACCATCGTGACGGGTAAGAGAATGTCTAGCCGGTAGTCCGATATATATACTATTACTAAGTAACTCAATATAGTGGTGGACGAGCGGCGCTGGCTATCCATAGATGCCGCAAGCCAACAGTTGTAGCAATGCAAGGCTCAGCCGTTGGAGTCGGTATGACCATGTCTCTTCCAGCGATTATCCGGTACGCCAATCGCATACCAGAAGACATACACCCCACCAGAGCCCTTTGGTTAACATAACTATCTCTTACCCTTCTAGAATTGGCTACGAAAAAGGCAAATACGGCTTCGTCTTTGCCCGCCGAGGTATAACTTTAGAATCATGCTCCTCATATTTCCTTCCCCGTCTCGTCGGCCACTCAAACGCCAGCTACCTCGTCAGCACGGGAGGAGTCTTCCCACCTACATCTAAGCACTTCGGTGACCTTTTCAATGAGATCCTCCCGGACCCAACGCAGGTTTTACCGCGTGCTCTCGAGCTAGCCACCGATATTGCCGAGAATGTGAGCCCAGCTTCGTCGTACCTCAATCGCGCGCTTATGTGGCGCGATACTGGGTCGGCGGAGGCTGCTCATCTCATCGAGTCGAAAGTCATCAATCATATGTTTGGATCGGAGTAAGTGAAATCCATGAAGAGTCTGGTTGCGGATACTTACTATCACACAGGGACCAGAAGGAGGGCGTTTCGGCGTTCTTTGAGAAGCGAAAGCCGAACTTCAAGGCTAACCTTGATGATAACCCGCCGCCGAGTGTGCCATGGTGGATGGAGGTTGATACTGGCCGGAATCCTAAAGTAAAGGCGCCTTCAAAGCTGTAAATCCAAAGTCCGACATTTAAAATGGTAATAGCGAGGCCAGTACTT